AGGAGCTCTTGCTGCCTGCTGAGGCACTCGCGCTCCTTGTCGCAGATCTCCCGCCTGTTGTCGGCAGTCAGCCTCTTCATGGCCAGCTCCAGGTCCTCCTTCTGCTTAGCCACAAAGTCCCGGTCCTGTAGGGCAGCAGGGGACACCTTTACCCAGAACTGGCTGGGGAATCACCACACTGATTCTGATCACATAAGAAGTGCCACGTGATCAAAGAAGAAAACGCAGGAAATAGACAAGAAATATGTGGAGTGTGGAGAGGATGGAGCCTGCAGGTGGCGTGGTGGTTAAAGGCGCTGGATTCCCCCAGGGTCAACTACGGTTCAAGTCCTGGACCTAGTAGCTTGCTTTCTCCTTTCCCTTTCTCCCACTCTCTCTCTCTGGTCAAATTTTTAAAAAAATAATAACAATAAATGGAATTAAATAAATAAGCAATTCTTTAAAAAAAAGAAATACGTGAAGAGGAAATTTAAGAGACTTACAGACTAACAAGTGACCATGACATGTGGGCTCTCTTCAGATCCCGAACCAAGGAATGAACTGCATTTAAAGGAGGGGGCAGCCCCTGGTGCAGTGGGTGAGAGTTGTGTGGGGGAGCCCAGCGTGGTTGGGGCCCCGCTGCAGAGGCTCCAGGGACATGCCGGGTGATGCACGTGTGCCCAGAACCCTGACAGAGGGAGGAATGGGGGCAGAGGGACTGCGTGTGACTGAGCCCCACTGGGTGTTTTTCTCTCTCTCTCTGGTGAATGCACACACTCTCTGGCAATAAAAAATACAAATAAAAATATAGGACATTCATGAGACAGTTAGAAATGTGAATACTGTCATAATCGCAAATACGGCCTACCCGGCAATTCCTGTTACTGACTCGGGGTCTGTCTGTGGCCCCGTGGGTGTCTTTGTGATGACTGACGTATTTAAGAGGAAATGATATGACGAGCAGGGTTTCATTCAAAACGATACAGAAGGGGAGGGAATGAATGAGCAGGCGTGAGCTTATGGAGACTGACATCACTTTTCATTATGAAGAGTATAAAAAATAAAATTTAAGGGGACCAGCAGGTGGCGTGATGGTTAAGGCGCTGGACACTCCCACATGGCTGACCATGGTTCAAGGCCTGGACCTTGCTTGCTTTTCCACTTTCTCTCCCCCTCTCTCTGTCTCTCTCTGGTCAAATTAAAATAAATGAATGAATAAATAAAATTAAATAATTAAAATAAAATAAAATTTAAAAAGTTTAGGAGCCAATCAGAAAAGAAAAACCCAGCTATCTCATCACCCAGGGCTAGCAACCGTCTGCAGCTTTTCTGTACAAGTGCAGCCGCAGCTGCTGCCACGGCCCCACACAGATACTTATTTTCAAAGTATTCTTGTCTTATTCACGAGGGGGCATGTGTGCACCTACGAGAGAGAGAGGGAGAAGCCCCCTCACCACGGCCTCACCGTCTGTGAACCTTCCCGGCCTCAGCTCATCAGGACGGTGGGTGCCTGGAGCACGCCCAGGGTGTTTTCTGGTGGACCTGGGGCTCTGAGCCCTGAAGTTCAGTTTGCCACCGACTGCACTATTAGAAAAAGAATGCTGGCTTCTTGCTTTCTTGTTCTCTCTGTCTCTCTGGTGAGTACACATACTCTACAGCAGGATAATAATAATAAAAATATTAGATAATTCTAAAAATGAATGAATAAAGTTGAATAAAATAATTCTTAAACAGAAAAAACCACTACGGGCCGGCCCCCTGGCCTAGTGGTTAAAGGAGTCGAATCCCACATGACCGACCTTCGAGTGCCAGGCCCGGCAACTTGAAAAACACACTAGGTGCATGTGCATGCCTGCCTAAAATCCCAACAGGGGCAGGTGTGGGAAGGGACTGTGGGATGACACACCCCATTGGGGTGCTTCCTGTGCCTCACCCCATCTCTCTCTGGTGAGTGCACATTGCCCTCTGCAAATATAAAAATAATAAATAAATATTAAAAAGACCTTCCTAGGATATGTAATCTATCAAATGTGTTTAAAGGCTAAAAATATTGGGTCATCTGAAAAGCCATGACTTTTTTTTTTTAAACAATTACATTATTTCATTTATTATCATCATTATTATTTGTTTAATTTGACCAGAGAGAGACAGAGACAGAAAGGGAAAGTAGGAAAGCAAGCCTCCAGGTCCAGGACTTGAATCATGGTCGACCATGTGGGAGTCCAGCGCCTTCATCACCATGCCACCTGCTGGCCCGAAGCCATGACATTTTTGCACGGAAAAACATAAAAAAAAAAACACGTCATGACTTTTCCAACAACTCAATATTTCATGGCATGGACATGCCTTATTTACCTACTCAGTAAGGGGTTGTTTCCAGGTTTTCTATATTTTAGACAATACATATTTCGTTTAGCCTGATAAGGCAGCTGATGTGAAGGGTGGAGGTGATCAGAGGGGAGAGCTCACTTCCAGGTGGAGTGCGGGCAATCAGGGAGGTCTGCATGGAGGTGTTAGAAGGGGCCATAAAGGATGAGGCTGGATTTAGGTATTCAGAACGAGATGGGCATGTGAGGAGCAGGGCCTGAGACAGAGAGGGTACCTGGTCACCATTCAGCTTCCCCAAGCCCCTCCAGCTCACCACCCGCCCGAGGGCTGACGCTCACAAGCAGCTGCTTCTTCTGCGAGTGCTCCTCCAGTTTCTGCTTCATGCTCTCCTTCCGCTGCTGTCGCGGAAGCCTCTCCACCTCATTCTTCACCTGCGGCAGACACGGCGGAGAGTGTGGCTGGGTGGGCTGCCTCCTCCTGCTGCCTCACGGACGTCCTCAGCTAGAGAACGCCTGGGCCATGGAGACTGCGGACCAGGCTCGGCTCTCCAGGCACAAGCCCCACCTGCCGCCCCCCGCCTTCCACCCAGGTGCTGCCCCTACCCCGGCCTGCCTGCGGCTGGCTCGTGTCCACACGCCCCAGTGAACGCTCTCGGATGGTGTTCACTGTCTGATATCCGTCCCCCTTCTTCTGGGGACCACACCTCAGTTTCCTTTGGGCACTATTCATCAACCTTTTGAAAAAACTCCTATTCCCCGGGACCAGCAGGTTGGCATAAAGATTAAGACAACTGGATCCCACATGGCTAACTCTCTGGTTCAAGTCCCAGACCCAGTGGCTTGAAAAGCACGCTGACCCAAGTGCGTGCATGCCTGAAGTCCCAAGAGAAACATGGATCATGGTGTGGCCGTTCCCCCTGGGGGTGATCTCGCACTTTCCTCTCTCTCTGGCAAGCACACACACCCTATAGCAAACTAAAGAGGAAAAAAAAAAAGCAGCAATCAATTTTTTGTTGTTGTTCCCCTACAGGTCCCAGGTCCCATGGCCCATAGCCCAGCATGGCCCAGCAGTTAAGGTTGCCAGATCTCATGTGGTCCTTGCAGCTTGGAAAACAAACAAACAAAACAAAACAAAACAAAAAAAACAAACACCAGGCATGTGTGCCTCAAATCTTGACAGGATGGAGAAATGGAAGAAGAGGACCACAGCACGACCACGGCCCATTGAGGGGCTTCTCTTTCTCTGGCGAGCGCATGCACCCTCTAGCAAAATTTAAAAAGAGAAAAACAGATTCCTTTGGAAGTTCTTTTTTAAGGTTTTCGCTACAGGGTGCGTGTGCTCGCCAGACAGAGAGAGACACAGAGACAGAAAGAGAGAAATCACCCCCCAGGGGGGTGGTCACGCCGCAATCCCTTCTCCTCCATTCTCCTCTCGGGATCTTGGGCACGCACGCACACGCGCCTGGCATGAGTTTTAAGCCACCGGGTCCCGGACGCAAACTGCGGTCGACTACATGGGAGTCCAGCGATATAGCCATTACGCTAACTGCTAGTTCCCTGGAAGTTCTTCTAAGTACTTCCCCTATCACCTTTCCTGGGAAATATTCATCTACAGGTAATGTTGCTCCTTGCCTTACAATGGGGTGACATCCTGATAACCCCACTGTTAATCAAAATTACCGTAAATTGAAGATCCCTTTACTATGCCTAATCCCCTCCTGGTCACCGCCTCTCCTGCATCACAATCCTCTTTTCTCCTGCTCTTTCCTTGGAAGAGGCCTATGGGGGAGGAGGCGAGGGAAGCAGCCTGGAGCCACAGTGAGCTGCCTGTGAGCGAGGCCAACACACCGAAAGGCATGCGGAGATGGCGGGGGCTCCTGAGGGGCTCCCGAGGCAGCTGGAGCAGCAGGTCCACGCCTCTGGGCTGAGCTTTGCAAGCCGGTTAGCTACCACCGCAGGTGAGGGGCCGCTGGGATTGCAGACGCCCTGCCTGGCATGCCTCACCTCCTTCTTCATCAGCTTGAGCTGCTCCTGGAACCTGGCGTAGTCCCGGTCCTGCTCCAGGCGGATCCGTTTGGCCTCCTCCCGACGACGCACGGCGTGGTCTTGCTCCATCTTCTCCACCTGCTGCTTCTGCTGACGCTCCAGGTTCTCCAGCTCTGTGTCGAAGAACTTCTTCTTGGCCTGGAAGGAGCAGAAATCTAGGAGATTTGGTAGGGGGTACTTCATGCCTGGGAGGGAGTGGGCAGTGGCTGCACCAAGCTTATGGGCACTCTGGGTTCGGGTCCTGGCTCCACCACCACCAGGCAAGTTCCTGCCTGAGTCTCCACTTCCTCTTCCGCAAAAGGGAGACCAGAGCCTCGACCCTGCAGGGCTCCTGCACATGCTCAACAGAGTCATCTCCCCACAGAGGCCCTCCTGGGTGACAGGATTGCGGGGACCCTCATGTGGTCTGTTTACACGTTCCCACCTACTGAGACCCGGAGCCCACAGGTGCTGGGCAACACCAGGAGTGTCCCCAGGGCCACGCGCCCCAGGTGGAGGCCCGCCCTCGCGCACTCACGTTGACCTCCTGCTCAAATCGTTTGTGCAGCTGCTCCAGCTGCAGCTCGTGCTTCCTGCTCAGCTGCGTCTGGTTCCGATGCTCCTCTTTCTGGAGCAGTCGAAGCTCCCGGAGTTCCTGGCGCCTGCAGGGTTAAAGGAGGGGGACATTTTACAGTGAGACAGTGGCCTCAGAGGTCACAGTCCTCACAGCTTCGGACATGGAGGGCTTGGGCGTGGGTCACGGAGCAGACTCACCCACGCCCTGGGCAGATGCGCGCTCAGGACTCGGGCTTTATTTCACAACCGTCGACAGACCAAACATTAGTACAGAGTGCTTACAAGTCAAGAAAAGAGGAATATCCGAAACAACAGCTAAAGTGGCACAGAACATGAAGAGATAATAAGCCAAAGACGGGGCCGGCAGGTGGTGCGGTGGTGAAGGTGCTGGACCACCATGTGACCAGCCGTGTTTTGAGTCCGGGACTGGTAACTTAAAAATCACGCCAGGCACGTGTGCATGAGCACCCAAAATCCCGAGAGGAGAATGGAGAAGGAACTGTGGCGTGGCCACCTCTCTCCCCTAACCCCTCTGGGATGGGGATGGGGACGGGGCTGATTTTCACTTTCCCCCTAACTCTCTCTCTGCATCTCTCTGGTGAGTGTAGGCACCCTACAGCAAAACTAAAAAAAAAAAAAGAAAAATGGGCAGGATAAGCCCCGAAGTGTTAACCATGCCTCTTCCTGAGCAAATCCATTATAAACTGACCTGTACTGCCCCACTGCGGGGCATGCCCTGCTCTGCAGACTGGGACCACGCGGAGGCCTGGGTGACATTTCTGGCCCAACCTCAAGGCCGGGCACAGTGGCAGGTGCCTGTCATCCCAGAGGCTGAAGGAGCCGAGGCCAGAGGACCATGGCGTGGCTAGACTTTGTCTTTAACAAAACAACTGAGTAACCATGGTGGCCCAGCAGTAATGCAATGCTTCCCGATGTCAAGGCCACATGGAAAGGTCCCAGGTTCGTGTCCTGAGGCCTCCTATGTGTGCCGAGCACTCCCACGCACACCCGTGGTCCTGGCTGGCGGAGGCTGGGGTGAGTCAATGCCACTGTGAAGACCCTGCTGAGGGTGTCTATCTGTCCCTTATGGGAGAAGTAAACTGTAAAATATTGATATGTATCATTTACTTTATACATATATACATATCATTTACTATACACGTGTGTGTGTGTGTGTTCCTACTATGCTACACACACACGCCCACGATCCGGGTCGGGCTGAAGCTGGCCGTGATTGTGGCATCTAGACCTTGGTGGGGGTGCTGTCTCTGACTCTCTAGAGCACGTGTGAGCTGGGGCCTGGAGGGTTGGGCACACTCCAAAGATGGCGTAGCAGGGATGGTGCTGGACTCCCACGTGGCTGACCACAGTTCACGTCTTTAACTCGGTAGCTTGAAAATCATACTGGACATGTATGCATGCGTGCCCAAGAGGAAAATGGACAGCTGCCTGGCCGTCCCCCTTGGCGTGAGTTCCCACTTTCCCTCTCACTGTCTCTGTCTCACTCTCTCTCTCTTTCTGGTGAATGCACATGCCCTATGGCAAAAATCTCGTAAAGTAAAAAAAGGCATATTCAGGCACGTATGTGCAGAAACACCACCAACTAATGAAAACTCTGCTTCACAACCTCCTGGCCCTCAGACGGGAGACGTGCCTCCCGAGTATCTAAAACTGCTCCTGTTTGGCTTTGAGATATTTGTACCTTTTAAAATAAGGATATGTAAATGTTCTAGAAAATTTGTCCAAACCATTAACTAACACCTTGCAAAGGCCTGGCCCCAAGGGAGCTCCACGGACCAGTGGACCCCGAGGAATCCTCATGGACAGACCTGGTTAGGACCCCAGCTCTAGCCCTCCCCTTCCTCCCCAGAAACACTGTCCTTTACGCATGTGGAAATTGGGGTCCCTGCGGAGGGCTGCTGGAGGGCCGAGCAACTGCATTGCTCACACTGTTCCTGGCAAACAGCTCTGCCTCCCACCTCGACCCCACTCCAATCCCTCTCCCAGTCTCACTGGCTTTGCCTCCAAAACGTAGAATCTGACCACGTTCCCCCTCTTCCTGGCCACGGGCACAGGCCACAGCCCGACCAGCTGGGAGGGGTCTGTCTGGCGCCCTCTACAGCTCAGACTGCTAGAGCAGCCAGAGCCATGTTCCAAAGGGGATGCTGGCACTGGCTACTCTCCAACCTTTTCCTTCCTGCAGCACCCACCCTGGGTCACCCACTCCAGTGCCCATCCTCTCCCTCTGACCTGCTCACCACACTCCAGCCCGGTCCCCTCAGCTCCTCAACAAGCCGCGCGGTCATCCTGCGGAGCGTCGGCAACCGCAGTGCCCCGTGCTCCCCAGTTCCGGGGGAGGCCTGCCCCTCTCGCTCTCTAGGCTCAGTTCAGGGCTCCCCAGAGCAGCGCCCCCGGCCCATGCACACTCAGTCAAATCACCCATTCCTTCCTTTGCAGCGAGCCCCAGGCAGGACTCACGCTGTGGATTGGGTGCTGGTGTAAGTTCTACAAGGGTGGTGACCCAGTTCATGTGAGTGGCCTGCCTCCAACCTCGTGGGTGGGTGGATACCCGGGAGGACGAAGAGATGGCGGCAGGTGGAGGGGTGGTGAATGGGGAGGTGGAGTGACCAGATGCACGAACTGGTACCCAGATGCACGCGTGGGCAGATACATGAGTATGGTGGATGGACGTAAGGATGGATGACTGGGTGGACAGACGGACAGGCAGATGATGGACAGATGGAGGGCCGGGTGTATAAGCTGACAGAGGGTAAATGGATGGGTGTGTGGTTGGGCAGATGGGTGGACAGACAGCTGGGAGGAGTGAGTGGGTGGACAGACGGGTGAGAAGATGGATGGAAAGATGGTTGGTTGGGCTGATGGACGGGGCAGTGCAGGGTGTCAGGCGAAACCTCTGGCTTGGACGTCCCCCCTTCATGCTGTAGACGGCCTTCCTACCAAAGGGCCAACGCCCGCCCCTGCGGCGCACCCCCGTGACCGCCATCGGCCTCCCTGGCCGGGCTTGCCTGAGAAATCGCATTTCCTCGTCCTTTTTCTCATCTTCGCTGATGATCTTGGAGGTAGTGATGCTCACTTCCACGCCGTCCACGACAAATCTGCGCGTCCGCTTGAGGGTCTTATTGTGTAGCCTGGAATCCTGGCCCGGGAAGAGCATCAGACACAGCTCGGCATCTCAGCTAAGGACCCACAGGGACCCCATGAGGCCCCACCCGGGAGGGCGTGGCCGTCCACCGTCCCTCTTGCCTCCAGCTTCTCAACCCGGGACTTCGGTGTCTGAACGTCGCCCCTTTCCTTCCCTGATCTTAATCTTCAGACACCGCCCCCGATACAGAGTTTTGTACTGTGTATAAAATCAGGTGTGATATGGTTCCTTGATGCTTAATTCTGGCTTAGTGTACAGTGTGTGCGAAACAGCTTGACTCTCAATGGTGGGTCTCTATGAACATTTCTCAAGAGACCTTTAAGTTGGGGGTGCTTTTTGGGTGAGCTTATTTTCATAGTTTTGTCCTCAGAGATACAGAGTTTTTTACTGTGTACAAAATCAGGTGAGATATGGTTCCTTGAGGCTTAATTCTGGCTTAGAGTTCAGTGTGTACTAAACAGCATGGCTCTCAATGGTGGGTCTCTATGAATATTTCTCAACAGACCTTTCTGTTGAGGGTGCCGCCCCCCCCCGAGGCTCGCCCACCTCGTTCTCGGGATGCAGCAGCAGAGGAGCTGGGTTCTAATCCTCACCCACCACCTTGTGACCCTGGGCAGTACAGGACTTGCCCCCCAGGACGGTTCTGAAAGGTCAACGTGACAATGGGGGGAGCACCCCCGGCAGGCCCCGGCTCCTTGGCATTTACGTCTGACAGTTACTAGCACAGACCACAATCCCCAACTCTGAAGGGACCACGAAAACCAAAGGCTATTTGCATTGTTGCCTCAGAGCCACCCTGACCTGGCCGAGCTCCGTTGGCAGCCACGCCTGTCGGGAGCCACCATGAAGTTTCCGTAATCTTTATCTTTTGCTGTGAAGAACCCACAATTCACATGCAATTGCTCTTAGCATGTTATGGAGTTATGATAAACGATCCCTTTGGGGGTTTTAGCTCTGATCAGAGTGAGGGCCCGGGGCCTGTGCGGGCGTCATGGCCTGTCCCCTCTGTCCGCTGCCTCTGGTCTCTCGACTGGCTCTGAAGGCTCTCCTTGGATGGCTCAGCCCTGCCCTGCCCACACAGTCCCAAGGGCCTTCCAGCCAGAAAGAGTTGGAGAGAGCCAGGGCAGCTCCTGACAAGGGCTCTGAGCCCTCGTGGTCCAGGCCGAGGCCTACTCCTGCTGCATGGGGACCTGCAGACGGTCCTTGCTCCCTGAAAGGTGGGCTCCTTTTTGATTTTTGTCAATCTAATATGGGACATGTGTGCTCGCCAGAGAAAGAGACACAGAGACAGAGAGAGGGAAGTGAGAAAACACCCCCGGGGGCGATGACCACGCCGCAGTCCCTTCTCCACTCCCCTCTAGGGATTTTGGGCACATGCACACATGCCTGCTGTGGTTTTCAAGTTGCCAGGACTAGAACTCCAATCACAGAGTTGGCCACGTGGGTTCGGCTGCCTTAACCACCATGCCAGCAGCTGGCCCAGGGCTCCTTGCTCCTGCGCCCTCACCCGTGGCAGCTCGCCCAGGGGAGCGGACAGCATTCCCGTCACACCCGCCTCGCCTCTCCCCCTCCCTCATGTCCTGCTCACACGTTGCAGGACTCGATCCGGATAGGTCTGGTGGCTGCGAGAAGTGGAGGCAGGCAGGAGGGAGTGGAGGGCAAGAAAAGGCCCACAGCTGCGGCCCTCAAGACTGGACCCCATCCCGGTCCTGGGCCCCCACCCCGAGTGTGCCAGGGGCCATGACACAGAGGTTTGCTCTTATCAGGGCAGTCCATGTTCCGGAATGTTCTCAACCCTGGAGCCAGGCGGTGAGACCTGTTCTGGGTGGGTCCTCTTCACTTGCGAAAGAACACGCAAAGCCACGTTTTGTACGTTCTGTGGCTTTTCAGGAAGACGAGGGACAGGACACCTGTCCACGGAAGATGATGCTTCTACTCAGAACCTACTGTCTCCCCGTCGTGGCCCCGGCAGGCCTGCCCTTTCCTCTGGCCCTGAAGCTAGCTGTTGG